CGAAGAAGTAGCCGATGCCACCGATAAGGTTCGAGAAGAGCGACTTGCCAAACTCCTCATAGCGCTCCTTGACAAAAGGTGTCTGGGGCTTGAAGATATCCGTGAAGCGAGTCGAGAAGCTAGAGGTAACCGAATCGATCTGCTCGGTGAGATGCTCAGATGTGATCTTCTCGGGCGCCGATGCAGATGAGAAGATGATGTCGAACTCGAAGGGACCCTCAAAGACCTTCTGAACCAGGTGCATGTTGCCCTTGCCCGGCAGATGCTGGATGGTGTAGACCTGTGCAGGCGGTGGGGGGTTGTCCTCGCCGTACTTGGGGACCAGGACGTCGATCTGGCCCTTCATGTGCGCGAACATCATGGCCTTGACCTGCCACAGCGCATCTTCTGGCACCTGTCCGCTGTGTGCTAGAGTCCGGTCCAGAGGCTTCTCGTCGTAGCTTGGGTGTCCAGTGATGGGATGTTCGCCGGTGCCCTTGGTGACCGTGAGCTCGAACTCGCCCAATTCCTTCGTCTGGCCCTTCAGGACCACGTCGCCCTCGATGCCAGGCTCTTCGGGATCAGCACCTTCAATGCCCAAGTTGCCGAAGCCAGCGAGTGTGTTGTACCAGACGACTGTCGTGCGCAGGTTCGGGCCTGCGTCTTCTCGTGGTGTGCCCTTGATCCTCGCGCCCCAACTGCCGCCATGCTCTCCGCCAGGGAATTTGATGAACTCAGTGGTGATGTCGATCTTGTTCGCAGGGTCGTGGATCGTTTGTCGGCCGCCGCTGCGCACATCGTATTCGTCCCAGCCGTAGCCATCGAGTTCGTGCTGCTCGCACGTGTGTCGGAAGTCTACACAGTCAGCAATGAGTTCGATTCAAGCTGTGAATTACGGCCTTACTATGCTGCACGCTTTGGTAGTCCTCAACTCTGGTCCACATCAGACCGCCCATCAAGCTCTTGGGAATGCGCGGCCGGACGCCAAAGTAGAGGTTTGGGCGGTAGGGTCCCCATAGCAAGCTCGCATTGGTTGCCTTCTCGATTTCGGCGACCTGCGCGCTCACGAGGGGCAATTGAAGGGCGAACAGGCACGTGAGCCCCTTCCAAAGGGTGCCATGCCGAGATTCGCGCGTCATGGTGTTGAGTGAAGCTGGAGCTGGAGCTGGAGCTTTGCGGGGGTTTGGGACACATTTCGCGGAGCACCCGCAACTTCCTCGGTCGTTGATTGGCCGAGGTGGAGGCGACTCCCGAATATGTTCGTCTGCCGTTTTGAAGGGTGCGATTACATGACGAACTACGGTGTTTTAGCAAGCAAGCAAATTTGTGTTCGAGCAGATCACGAAGAAAGGTAGTGATTGGGTGGAACAATGATATCGTAGTTGTCTCAGTCTATCGAGCTCGAATGCCGCCAAATTCCCTGGACTGATGTACCTGTTACTCACAACCAGGTTTGATGCATTGCAGATTCCTCTGCTTCGGTCAGACTCATAAGAAACCGCGCGAAGTACAAGGGGAGATGAGGCACCATACCATGAGCCGCGTGATCATAGATGTAGACCCTTCCATGGCATCTCACAACTCAACCAGTCACCCAAGGCGGCATAAGTGCGTCCTGCTCTGCGCGGTTGTGCTTCAGGTGGATGGCTAAAGCTGTCACAACCCCAAAGACACCGCCAAGTAGTGTATAAACCCTCTGCAAATGAGCCATTCCTCCTCGATCTCTCCGACCCCAACCCCCAGTCTCCTCCATCCTCCCCAACCTTGTGATCCTAAACCTCAGTCCCCAAACCACCCCCTCAACTCCGACTAGGACTCAACGGCCTATTAAATCCACCCTGCCGATTCATATACTGCCTAGCCTGCAACTGCTTATCCTTCCTCACCCCAAAGTTCTTATCGTTCCCGGGTACCTTTGTGTTCTTCGTGCTTTTGAACCCGCCGAACCCCATGATCTTCAGCATCTCCCACTCCTCGTCGTCCATGTCTTCTGGCTTCTGGCGCTCATCTTTCATCTCGACATCGGGTGAGGCTTCTTCTTCTCTCTTGATAGGGTTGATAGGATCGACGGTGGAGGACCGGGGACCGGTTGGAGGCGCTCGTGCACTGCGAGATGGAGGCGCGTTGTCACTTCGTGGGCCTTTGGGCGGTTGGGGCGAGCGGTCGCGGAAGTTGGGGCGCTCGTCTCGTCCACCTCCACCTCCTCTCCTGTCGTCGCGGCCCCGTCCGCGGTCATGTCCACCACGTCCTCGCCCTCTTCCTCCCCTAACTCCACCGTCGCGTTCGTCTTTTCGGAACGGCGATCTCGAGCGGTACCGGTTGTCGCGTCGGCCGCCGCGCTCTTGCGGACTGCGCGAGCGGTTGCCGCGGCGCTCGGTGGGTGTGCCGCCTCGATCGCGGCTTTCGCGGGGTGCGCGCCGGGTGTCGCGCTCGAAGGGGTCGCTGTATGTTGCGCGCGGTCGCTCGTTGTCTGCCATGGTGTGGAGGGGGGTGTTGGGGGTGTGGGTGTGGTTGGCGCAAGGGAATTATTTGGTGAGTTGGGGGAGTTTGGGTGCCAAGGCTGAGGGTTCAGCCCTACCATGGTGCAGATGCTATGCGCGAGGCTCAATCACGATACGTGGAGGTCGGAGAGATGGGTTAGTAGGCAGAGTATCAACTCACTCATGTCAAGCAAAGCGCAAAAGCAATGAGTTTTGTTATGTTATTCGTCATGTACGACTGCCGCATCTTGAGGAGACGCAACACCATCCGTCCGTGAGACCGTCTGTCAGTTCAAGGCAAGAGCTCTCTCTCAGTCTGCTCATATCACGTTGCCTGCGCATCGCGCATCTCGCTCTCCCATCAATGATTGCCGTAACGCCGTCGCCCTACTAGACAGGGTATCTCAGAAGTGCAACTCAAACCTGCGACCAGCGCCCATATCCCCAACCCAATGACGCACCAAGCATCCTCAAATCTCATCCTCCTCCTCGTCAAAGTCGTCCTCAGAGCCCATGTCATACAGGATGCGACCACCCTCACCAGCACCCTCACCCTTCTGCGCATCAAAGTAAGGCAGCACGACCTCCTCACGCGCCTGCTTCTGCTTCTCCGTGAGCGCAAGGTTGAAAGTCGAGTTGGGGTTCTCAGCGGCATCTTGGATAAGGCCAGACACGTTACCAGCGTATGCGGGCTGCATGTCGAGAAGGATGACGTACTCCTGCTTGAGCGTGCCGTTGGGGATGCCAGGCATGGGGTCGTGGTAGTCTTCCGGGCGGGGAGTGCGGAGGAAGTAGGTTTCACCCTCTGGCTTACCGGACTTGCGTCGGAACTCTGCTTCCATGACTATGCCGCGGTTGTCGTTGGCGTCGAGGTCTTGGATGATGCCTTCGGCGGCTTCCAGCATGCCCCAGGTGGGCTCGGGCAGGCTGCGCTCGGCGGCGGCTTTGGCGGCGAGGCAGTGCGCGAAGGACTTGCAGGTTATGATGGAGGTGGCCATGTACTTGATCAGCTCCAGGGGTTGTGGGGCGTATGGTGACTCTGTTGGGTTGTCGAGCAGGTCTTGGTGGTAGATGCCGACGAGAGTGGAAGCGTACTTGTGGACGACGAGCTGGAACAGCGCGGTCATGTCGACGCCGTAAGTGTAGAGGAGCTCGTGGAGGTTGTCGATGACGACGATGCTCTCTTTGGCATCATCCATGGCTTTGCGCAAATTCTTCAAGATCTCGTCGCTCGTCATGCCGAAGCCCTGAACGGTGCGGATCGGTGCCATGGCCTGGCCAGACTCGAATGTGACGAAGACGACGTTGACGTTGCGAGAGAGGGCGCGGCGGGTGATCTCGCTGATAAAGATGTCGGCACGCTGGTTGAGGTCATCAAGGACGAGCGTGAAGGGCGATCCATTGGTGCGGACGTTGAGGACCCTGCCCATGAGGTGGATGGAATGGCGTTGGTGCTGCATGAGCGTGAATGGCTTGTTGAAGGCGCGCGGAACAGGGAGTTCACGTCTACGCTTGCGACGGCCAGTGAAGTTGCGGTTGTCTTTCTTGATCCACTGCGCGGAGTCTCTAGCTCGGATCTTGACCGGTCGCGGAGCAGGCTCGTTGATGTCGAAGTCTTCAGCGAGCCAGCGATCTTCTTCAACTCGTAGCTCTTCTTGAGCGTTCTCCAACCACTTTGCCAGGTCAAACTGGGCAGTGCCGTCTGAAGGCAGAGTATAGGTGGTTTGATTGCTGTAGTCCGGAAACTGGTCAGTCCAGTGGTTGGTGAACTGGTTTAGTAGCAGACTCATGGTGTAGGTGGTGTGGCTTTTGAATGTATGGAAAGATGTGCTTTTGGGGAATTGATTGAAGAATTGTGGAGATGGGGTGTAGTAGTTGAGTGTAGGTTGGAGAGAAAGATTTGAGACTGAAGGAGCTGGAGATTCTGCTTCATATGTGCGGCAGGGGGCTGGGAGTAACGAGAAGAGTTTTAATCGAGGAGGCTGGTTCATGGCCAGCCGATGACGACTGAGTTGACATACCTGAAGTGAAGGTGAAAGGGCGGCTTTTTTAGGGGTGCAGGAGGTAGATTGAGGTTGGATGTTAGAACGACAACAGAAAGCAAAGCCCTACTATCGTTACGTATATCCTTCCAAGGCTCCAGGATTCCGCTGGCTTTAATCGTAAAATGCGCAATATCCCCAAGTCTTGGCAAAGTCGTGATGGTGTTTCTGCTCGTTCAGTCATTTTCGACCACGCTAAAGCACACCACTAGCGGCGTTGCGCCCTCCACGCCCCACATACCCGGTCTCCACCGCGCATCCCATCGCCGCAGCATGAAGACGCGCCAGTCAACATGAGGTGCACACCATCCCTTCTAACCCCGACATGACAAGCAATGCGCCATTATCTGCGTCGTCGAAGCCGCCACGGCCCAAGTCCCCGCATTTCCCGCCCCACAATGCTCCGCGCGTGTGGTTCATCACAAGAGGCGCATCGCCTATTGCCATCGCGTTAGCGCGGCAAGTGCTGGAACATGGCGATTATGTTGTCGCGGGCGTTATGCCGCTGGAGTTTGAGAAGAGAGAAGGCCAGAGTGAGGATTTTCGGACGTTTTTGGAGGATGTGAAGGGAATGGACCGATGGCGCGAGCATTTGAGGGTGGTTGGGTTGGATAGTAGGTGAGTGTGCGATTCCGGTATTCGTTATGAGGTGTTGCGCGTGCTGACGGTTTTGTTTTGTAGGGTAGTCGGCCAATGTCAAGCAGCTGTTGCTGAGGCTGTGGAGGCGTTTGGGCGCATCGACGTGTTGTTGTGCGCTGCTAGTGAAGGTTGTGACCTTGCCCTGCTTGACAAAATGAAACTGACAGTTCATGTACAGCTGTGATCGGCTCAGTAGAGGAACTTGCGCAGACCAGCCGCACCAGAAGCCTGGTCGATGAGATCTTCGAGATCAACTTCTTCGCGAATGTCAATATCATCAAAGCCGTACTTCCGATCATGCGCGAACGCAAGAATGGCCACATCATCGTGATAACCGGTATCAGTGAGTCACCGTCACCATCAAAAGCCATCTTTGACTGATCTCACCTTTTCCAGCTGGCCATCTAGGAACACCCGGCCTAGGCATGTACTGCTCCTCCCAATGGGCCGTCGAAGGCTACTGCGATGTACTCAAGCACCACCCCCAACCCTTACCACCACACCATCTAACACCCCCCAGTCCCTCGCCTACGAAATCGCCCCCTTCAACGTAAAAATGTCCCTAGTCCAAGCCAACATGGAAGTCAACGTCCTCACCAACCGAATAACCTCCGTGCCGCCCATGTCCGAATACCTGCAAGGCGAGAACCCCGCGCCGCTAGCCCGAGAAATCTTCTCCGGCCTCCTCGACAAACTAGAAAGAATCGACAACCCGTCTGCCCATGCCCCCTTCGACGAAAACACAAACAGTGCAACCAAATCCCCCGGCGACGAAAGCGTGATGTCTGACACCAATCCAGACGCGGAGCCCACCATGGGCGATTTGTTGAGTTCAGATACGGTGACGAGTTTGTATGCGCCGTTGCCGGTGGGGGTCAAGAGTAATTTGATTGCGGAGACTGTTCATGCGCTCACGGCGATTGGCGGGCATGATAATCCTCCTGCGAGGCATATTGTGGGTACGGAGGGTGTGACGGCTGTGAAGGAGAAGTTGAAGACTACGAGTGAGGAGTTGGAGGACTTTATTGAGGTTAGTGGGGCGGTGGATATTGCGCAGAGGGATGGGGAGGCGATGGTGGGGTTGGGGTTGGGGGTGGATCATGGGATGATGTGAGGGGGGTTGTGATGGGGATGCTACATGAAACAGGTCATAGTCGATTGATGCTCTCTCGGTCATCAGTAACTGTTGTGGCATCGCTGGATCGATAGCTGAGCCAGAATCTGAAGTGGTGTCATTCGACTCTACTGATGCTGTTTCATCCGGCATTTGTGATGGAGAGGCTGCGTCGAAAGAGCACATGGGCTCGTCGCTCGTCTCATTGTTCCTCGAAACGACTGAACCTGTTGTCGTTCCGTACACTGCTGAGCGCTGGCGGGGTTTAGAGCGATGGCAGGGCAGCCCGAGATGGAGAGCCTATAGAGCCGCGGCTGCAGCTGCCGAGGTCGCTGCGCCCTGATGACATCATCGACCGTGGACCCAGGGGCTCACACATCGGGCACGCTCTTTCTCGCCTTCACTCTGCGCAACGTCTGTGGTAACGTCCTCCACCCCATATAGCCATGCTCACCCTGCTTCTTTTCTACTCCGTCTATCAATCTGTGCCTTGCGTCCATGTACCACACCCGCCAAACTGCCGGTTAGGTCAGTACACGTCTTCAGCGGCCCCGGATCCGGGTTGCACTTACTCAACAGGACCGCGAGGGTCAAAGGAACCGCGATGACTGCGACAAAGGATCAGCGCGCGTCTTACGAGCAGGTCGTGGCAGTTCACATACCCCACATCAGCCAAAAGTCCTGCGAGACGGTAATATGATGCGGCCACTCATCCTGCAGCTTCATGAACTGGCTACCGAAGATGGAAGCTACCGTGCCTAGCGGCATGAACCATAGCGTCATGACGGCGATTGTCTTCATACTCTGGTTCTCCGACTGCATCAACTTGCTATCGCCCTGCGTGACGATGTTGAACGACAAGCCGATGATGTTCGAGATCCGCGCATTGAGACTTGTCAGCCGTCGCTGCGTCGATTCGAATAGAGTCTGTCGATATTTGAGTGCTTCTTTGGTTTGTCTCTGTAAGGTATTTGGATCAGTGCCCATCAGCGCTGTATGATGGGTATACAGATCGTTTAGTGTGGCTAATGCTGCTTCACAGTTCTCGTGGAGATATATGGCATGCTTGGCCAGGTTGTGAAGCCCAGTGAAGAGGTCCTTCGGCAGTTCCTCTGTCGCTTTTCCAACCCTACTGGCTATCCCTAAGGTTTGCTGACAGTACATTAGCATGACACTTGGTCGAAAAAGGAGCGCACGCACCGTCTCCAAAGGCCCGAACGTATCCGACACAGCCCAGGCTGTCCAGTCCAGGAGCTTGTACATCTCCTCGAACACGAGGTCGAGCAGCATATGCGGATCTTCCAGCAATGCCTCGCACGATGTCGTCTTCGTCAGTGCCCGAATTCGGTCCCGTAGGGTACTGGGTGCGCCGAAACATATCAGCTCTACCGCGGCTTTGGTCGGGGTAGGAGCCAACGTCTTATCGCTGTCAGAACTCGATGTTCGTACAGGCGGAGGCGGGTCGTCTGATTGTTTCCGGATCTTCAACACGATGCCTGTCTTGATCCAGGAAAAGTTCGCCTGGCTTTGAGCTCGCGCCGCCTGTCGACTCTTAGCTTCTTTGCCCTCAGCCTCCACGAAACCTGGGCCCGGGGCGATCTTGTTATCGATCACTGCTAACGTTTTACACAAGAGGTGGAACCAGATCCACGTCGTGCCATCGGCGTCTTCGCGCGCTGCAAAAGATTGAGAAACGTCTCGCAGGCTCTCGTCTACAAACGCGCTCGGAATACCGCATGAATTGAAAAGCTCTACCAGCGCATCTGCTCCCGGTGTTGGTGTGTCGCGAGGCGCAATTCTATGATGATCAGCATCTCGAGTGCCTCTGACGGAAGTACTCACATCACGCGAACCATCCCTTTATTCTCTGACTCGAGATCTGGTACAGATTTCAGGCCAAGTTGCTCAATTCCTTTATCAGCGTCATGAAGCCATTCGCACAGGTCTAGTGTTATGCCAGCGGTCTCTGGCTGCTTCGCCGCAGCTGCCACAGCTCTCATCCGGAACTCGTCAAAGGGTTGGCGATCAGCATTCAGTTGCCGACACAAAGTTGTCTTCTTGCTTGGTATCATTGCAGTCAAATGCGACAGTAAAATTGCGAATACTATGACTTGCAGAGAGCTCTCAGTACTCCAGCACTTGCCTACGTTGCATGAGTACTTCACTGGTAGCGACAACACCCGGGCGTCTGTCCGATTGCACTGCTCGTTTATCAGCCCCAGTCAATCATGCGGGCAAAGCCAGCGCCACTGGTTTCGACGAAACCGTAACCGCGCACCCTGTCAAGCGAGAATCTGCCTAGCATCGCTCTCGTGGTGTGATGTACGAAAGCATGCGGCCACGGGCCAGCGGTTCTGCACTTGGCGTTTTTCAGCTTTGGTCCGAAGCGGTAAACGCAATTTCAAGAGCTGAAGGGAGTGTCCGAGCGAGCCTATCGGCAGAGGCCGTCAGCGCTACGCTATTGGTGGCGCAAGGCTGAGTCTGCCAAGATGGCAGCTGGTAAACAGCCGAGCCCCTCGAAGTGGTACTGTACGCGAGAATGCGAAAAGCGGTACCTGTCAAGTTCAATTTTACAGCACGTCGGTATTCAAGCGCACCAAGGACAGTACGTCCCTCAGACCTCTCCGCCGGGCGAATGTCGCTGCTATACCCATTAGATGCACGCATGGCTTCGAAAAATACAACAACCTTCCGCGAACGTTTGTAGTGGATGTTAAGGGTACCTACCTTTTTGAGAAGCTGAACTTCAACGAATGGCCTCATGTTGTTCACCGTTTGTATGGCGAGCGGCAAGCACCGCGTACCGTACGCATGAACAATGCTTCAAGCCACACCAGCGTACTAGGGTAGGCGAATATGCAAAGTCCCCGAGGTTGCCCACCGTGCCAACAAAGCCAAAGCATGGATACCACCCAGTCCGACGACTGATGTCTACATGGAGGGTCACCACCATGTAGTACTGAAGGCCGCATCGATAGGGCCTCGACCCATTCCGGATATGTCTCCTGCATACAGGGTCCACAGCAAACGCCACGATATCGTGAAGTGGAAGTTAGAGGGTCCGAATGCGAGAGAATGGCCAATCCAAGAAAGGTGAAGGTTGAGCTGAAGTCTAGGATAGAGTCAAAAGCAACGACTCCAGCAACGCGCGCGTTCAGGCAGGCGCTTTACCCTCGTGCCACCCGACCATATTCTATTAACGGACCTGGACCTGATAAGACTAGACACGATCGCCGGCCTCAAGGTCTCCAAAGTGTAGGTTCAAGACTACCGCCGCTCAGTTTCACAAACCGACGTTGAATGGTACAAAGACTCTTCGGCCTCCACGTCGATCACCCGCTAACCATCTCAAGGCTTACCCTCCAAATCTCTTCGGAAGACACGGAGGTGGCTTCGATCCCGGCAGTGGCACCTTTGTACAAGTACCGTCGTATCAGCAATCTTATCCGGTACGTCTTCGCTCCAGTCCCGATGATTCACGACACCCGCCTGACAGCATTCATCAGACGCAATCGCATCACTGCGGTGGAGGTGGTTACGACCCAAACAACGCTGCTCTGAAGCCTGCAGCTGTTGTGCAACACCAACCAGTCCCACATCCTCAGCCCACGCTCGCGCCTCAAGTACGTTTTCTCTTCTCTGTTCTCCATGTCTTTCTCATAGATGCACAGGCACCAGCTGGATATTATCATCAGCCCTATCAACAGTATCCACAGTCACCGCCACAACATTCCAACCCGCAGTCAAGCTTCATAAATCGGCTGTGTGCTTGTTTTGCCTAGCATTACTTACGTGATGGCGAAGATGATCGGCAACGACGCTCAGGCATCCGTCCGCGAGGTTGCACCATATGGACATCCCCCTGCCCCCCAAGACGACCATGAAGCCAACCAGAGGCGTCTAGGACAGTCAGTGATAGAGGTATGTGGGCTGGAACCCCATGTACTGGGATCTGCTAACGCAATTCAGCGCAACGGATTGATCGCACCCAAGGGATACGCACACATCTTCTCCCCGTGGACTACGATGAAGTGGGAGCGCCCCAACTTCTACCGCAAGCCCGGTCTTGCGTACCAGAAGCTTGGTCAGCACCGACATCGAGACATCTTTGACCGCGAATGGACTGGTGACTACGACGACCGCTACATCTCATCTTGGGACGGAAAGGTCTCCAAGCTCGTCGTACAAGCTGTCGACGATATCTACGAGAATAATACAGGATCTACCTACAGGCGAACCTTCGTCCGCAACGTCGCGCCTGTCTACATGCGATTGGCGAACTGGCCGTTCAACCACATCGACTTCTCGCGCCATGGCGGCAATATCCCTAACGAAGACCTTCCTATGCTTTGTCTCAAGTGGTTCGTCGCATCCTGCTTCATCACGATCTTTGTGAGTTCACTTCAACCGCGGCTTGATGTCTTAGCTGAGAGTGATCTAGATCTCCAGTCCGAGCCCTGCTGAGATCGCTTCTCGCAACGGAGGCAGTTATGACGGCTTGCCATACCAGTACTTTGGGTATCCCAAGGTTGCCAAGAACGCGATTGAGATGCACAGGCCTCAAGGCCACGCTTCGAGTCAAGCTAACCCGATTGCCGAACGTGTGTTGCGTCCTCGGTATCTCTGCTTCTTGCGAGAGCCAGGAAGGCCGGCCATCATCACAAAGGTCGACGATTGGTAGGTCAACAATGGCGTACCTCTATTTCATCTCTGACATCTGCAGGCTGGCCCAACACGATGCTCATGATCTCACGTACGTCTTCATCGCGTATACAGCTGAGCAGTTCAACACCCCTGAAGACTTCGGAGTTCTACATCAAATGGCTGACGTCGCGGCGCGCAATGCCGGCGTTATTGCGTATTGGGTGGGGTGCTCTTGCATGCCCGACAACCAGCTCGAGGAGGATGTAAGCACATAACCCAGTCAACATGGTTGTAGCTTTGCTAACGACTCTCGGAGGTCTACCGAATATGCGACGTTATCCGAGGCGCGCAATCTCTTGCAATCGCCGTGTGCCCTCCAGCGAACAACCGTTATGAGATCAACACACCTGATCTCATGCTTCAGCAATGGGGCTACCGCGTATGGACCTTTCCTGAAGTCCTCTTGGCGCCCGCTGGTAAAGACATCTGCGTTTACGTGCGCGACAGCGATCTGTCGCAGCCACTGCAAGTGCCAAAGAACCAGTTCGCTGCCCGCGTCTGGCAGAATGATGCGCACATCGCGCGACAGGTAAGATGGCCTCTAATACCGACATTTACATGACAGCTAACCCCCGCAGCTCATCGACCATTACGAGGGGAACTTGATCCTCAGCCAGCTCGAGCTGGTCACGCTTGCTCTGGAATGCTTGCATAACCGCGACACCACTGAGCATCTTCCCGGAGATCACAGCTACGCATTGATGGGTTTGCTCCGTGTCAGGCCACAAATTGATCGCACGGACTCTGCTTTCCAAGCGTTCGCTCGGTATGTCGCCACTCGCTTGCAGTTCACTCGTCGCATTGCTAACATCTCACAGACTCTCTCTTGCGAACGGCAGCGATCAGCTTCTCGAGCGCCTGATCTGCATGTTGCCCAAACATCCAGACCAGCCTTGGCATTCCATGGACGACGCGTATAACGCCAAGCTCTGGGACATACTGCCACAAGATGTCGGCATCGCCGGCGTTGGAGAAGACGACAGCATCATTCTTGATGGTTGTCGGGCTGCGAACGTTCGGTGGAAGTCTTTTACACCTGTCGCTCACACTCGGCGCGACTCCTGGAAGCGCTTCCTCGCGAAGGGAATGCTTCGCCTCAGCGGTATCATCTTCATCGCTGCATGCGTACTCGTCGCTATTCCCGGAATCACAAACACTATCGGCATCGTCCTGCTACTATACTCCTTGGTGGTCATGGGCTTATCACCATGGCTGTTACGCCTTCTCTTCCTTGGCAAGTTCTGGGAGCAGCAATGCTGGTTCTTTGGCTTCGAAGGCTACATGGACCTGGACACGATCGAGAGCCAGATCTTTGGTGGCAGGCTTGGGCGCATGAAGTGGACCGTATGTATGCTCTCGTCCTGTTAATGACGTCGCGCTAATCTCGTCGTCGCACTCCATAGGCAGCAGCTAGTCCCTTGTCGAGACATCATCGCAATATTCACGGCGAGTGCGTTCCCGTCGATCCGACTTCCGACCCTGCTGTCGCAGCTCTCGTACAACGAGCGAAGACTGCTGGACCAGGCGAACAACGCATCTTTACTCTTGTCGACACCGGTAACATGACTGCAACGCTCTTCCTCGCCGAGCGTCCACCCGTGTGCTTCCTCATGGCTGGCTCTGAAGGCGGTATGAAGCGCATCATCGGCTGTTCTTACGACTGGACCACCGCGACGATGTACAGAGAAACTGTGTTGCGGCTCGGGACGCAATTCGAGGACAAGATGCAGCGTGTCGGTCGCGTGAAGATCGGCTTCAAGCGTAAGCAGCATCCTTTCGGACCGTTTGATCAAGTTGGCGAGGCGGTAGGGAAGGAGATGCAGTGAGGTCCGCGTCTTGAATAGTTTGTGTCTTTTGTCGGTGGCTACGTCTGGTCATGACGGGATTAATAAAGGGTGGATGATGTGTTTTGTAGAGTTCGAGCTTTTCTTGCCCACTCGATGTAGTTGAGATATTGTATTGTCGTCCTCATGGTCTTGTGTTAATTGACGATCGTGAAGGATCTGATGCTATACCGACCTTTCCAGCATTGGTGGTCTTTCGCCCAAGGTATAGTCTTGATCCGTGCGGCGAAGCACTCTGCTGGTGGTGTCGACTGAACCTCTTCACTAATGCAGTTAGCTTGGCCCACACTTTTGCTACTAACGAGTACTCACCCCTCACTACCCCAAGTGTTGACTGAACTTGAGACTACTTGCTAGTGTTAGACTGAGCTATTAGATGTACATCAAGATCCGTGGACAGCCATCCGATTAGACTCGAAGTCCTCGCGAGAATGCATTGGCTATTCCTTCTTCTGTCGACAGCCTCCATGGCTAGTACACCATATGCAGCACCTCTTGACGGCTCCTCTACAGGAGTCTACGAGAACACAACAGTGGTAGCCGACGCGGAAGTCAACGTGGCTTCCACCAAGTACGTTTGGTCTGGTCTCGGCGACTCGTGGGCAGTAAGTACCTAAACGCGCGCTCGCATCGTCGAAGTCACTTGCTGAGCGTGGAATAGAGCGGCGTCTCATACGGCTTCTTCGGAACCACCGACTACGACGGAAACATGGACCACTGCCTCCGCATCAACCACGCGTACGCCCCGCAGATGAGCCGCGATAATTCCTGGATCCCCGAAGGCCGCGAACAAGAGTTCCATTTCCAGTCCTGCTCAGGCACTCGCTGGCGACAGATCGACGCCGAGCCGCATCTGGGCCATATCCAACTCAACGACGTCCCTGACAACGTCGACATGATCGTGTTACAGGCTGGCGGCAACAACGCGAACTTTGCTCGTGTCGCATACGCATGTATCTTCGCGCCACAAGGAGCGGATTATGGTCCCGAGTACCCTGATCAGAGCGGTCAATGTGCTAAGGAACTCGAGGCTACAAAGCAGTATATTCTCGGTACAGGACGCGACCAGCTTTTTCAAGACGCGCGATGGATCGTCAATCAAGTTTTCGACCATCCCAAGATCAAGAAGAATCCTAAATTCCGGCTGTTTGTAGTTGGCTACTTCCAGTTCTTCTTCGATGAGGGTGGCGAGGGCGATTGGTGTAGTAATGTGAGCTTCGGTTTGCGGTCTAGTGATCGTCCAAGGCTTACCCTCGCTTTGCGAAAGCGCATCAATGCGCTTATTCGCTATCTGAACAAGGCCATCGAGGATGGAGTAAACGGTAGCTTCCATCCGGAGCGGGCGACTTTCGTCGATACCGACCAGCATCTTGAAGGTCACCGTTTCTGTCAGCCTGGTCACACGCTGTATGACCAATACTTTGGCGACAATGTGTACTTGTGGAACATGTCTCCTAGTGGTATATTCAGTTGGCAGGGCGAGATGGTGGGAGGTATAGACGACGGCGATGGTAACGCAGAGGAGGGACGCCAGCCGACGCAAGCCGAGTTTGAGCACTGGCTCGAGACTGGTAGATTCACCGACGACCCTCGCGAGATCGAGTTCAACTTGACTGCCGCGCTCCAGTCCGGTAACGATGTAGCCGTCGCAGAAGATCCAGATAACCTGCAGTGGCTCGATGTGATCGGCCCGTATCAGCAGAACTACCCGGGTTTGACTCTTCGACCTTTCCACCCCACCGAGAGCGGCTACCGTGAGATGGCCAAGGCGATCATGGCGAAAGTGAAAGAGAAGCTCGAGATCGATTACCCACCTAAACCTGCTCCAGCTCCGACTCCATCAAAGCCGAAGGCCACCCATTCTATCCAGATCTTGCTGGCCAGCTACGGTGCTAAGAAATGGTGGCAGATCTACCAGGGCCCGCTAGGTGTACCAGTCAAACTTTGTGTCGACGATGGCCGCTTCAAGGATGCTGTCATTGACGAAGAAAAATTTGAGAAGGACATGTATCAGAACGACGCCAATATCCACGATCCACCTTACGTGACGGCGGGCAAGAAGTGGCCTCTTAAAATCGATAGCGAGGAAGACTGTTCTTTCGAATCCAGCGCTAACAGTCCTGGGTTTCTCAAGTGCGGAGGTGGTCTAGAACTGGACTTCGCGGCCGATCCTCAAAAGGGTGATAAGACTGTTACTTGCGGAGCGGTGCAGGGCCGGTTGGATAATGTAAGGTTGCATCGCGCGTGGTATGTCGAGTACTGAGCTATGCACTCAGCTGACGGGCGACTTGGTGTTGTTGTGCCATATCCGCTGGACGGTCTCATAAATGAAGATATCGAGTAGGCGGATTGCGAGCTACATTAGTACGCAGAACAATGCTCGACGACACGCTGAAAGGATTTAGACTACTGGGTTCCACGTTTGGTGGGTATCATCTGTTCCCTTGAACAGAGTGAGATATTGATGTACATCTGGGTAGGCAATGGACAGATATGTAATGTGGTGACCAAATCTCTTCTGATCGCAAGTCCGTGATGACCATTATTGAGGAAGCCGCATGTAGATCTCACTCATCGCCAGCTGCGCGACGGACGATGCTAGTCACATGACGTGCCGCATATGACAAAAAATCCGATAGGTCTTGAGCTGCTGCTGATGCCGGGCTGGTCATAGTGTGATGTCGGCGAAAGCGCGTGTGCTGACGCTGAGGACGCGATGAGTGAAATTTAAGAAGACACGACGCGTCGCGTCGCGTGTGTGGGCCATGATTAGTCAGCATCGCCAAAGTCACCGTAGCTTCCTTTCTGTGGCCCTGCGGTGCAAGATCACCATCGGCAGCCTGGCTCAGCATCGATTCGCGCAGTCTACATCCAAGCCTTTCACGTTGCCGTAGATTGCGACGATTTCCTGAGATGCATCAAAGAGTATTCCGCGTGACTGTACCGCTGCAATGTCGCTGCCGCGGCCGAATTCGCCAGTGCGAGGACGTACACCTTGCGTGGTGAGGACGCGACGACGCTCCAACACCCTCATAATGACTAATGAGCTCGAAAAAGACCGAATATCTAGCATGCCTTCAATTTCGCAGTGTTCACGAAGCGCTACTACTACCGCATCTGCTCCAGCCCAGACTGACCTCTATACCTGACCATGCAGGCGCGTAGCAGGCTCTCTTCTCGCAGCTACATGCAATCGAACGATCGCAAAGCATTTCACCTGAGACATTCGGCACAGGTCAGTCAATCTGGACGTTATCTTTGAAACCTAACCACCTATCTGCAGCCATGTGGGCGTGTTGCTGGGCGCTCGCGTGCGATACCGGCCGCCAGGTAGAAGTAAGACATCTTCCTCTTCCCTAACAACAGCACGCGCCTCACGCACTCGCGTCTCTGTTTACTGTAAAAACACGCTATATTTGATCTCGTTCGTCCTTTGTGGGATCTAGTTGCTTCACCATATTATCATTGTACCGTTACATCCCACTTCGTCATTATCATCATCATTGACCTAAGGTCACCACACCCGCCCTTCTTCGCACACCGCATCTCGACGTCGACGATGGAAGACGATCCCAACGCTACTTTCCGCCCTGACATTCCCTTTCGCACCATGAACTTCAGACTTCCTTCGGCAAGGAAACTTTCCATCGTCCTTCTCGCCACATTCGCACTGTTCGCCGCACTCGCCGCTACCTCCTCCTTCACAACTATAACCGCATTTGCAACCTCCGCTTTCAAATTGGCAACCTTCGCCCTCAAGTTCGTGCCTTCCCAAGGCAAAGCACCTATTCAGATCTCGAACGTCACGTTCAACTACATGGCTAGCGTCGCGGACGACGGAAAGAATATGATGGACTTGTCAGCCTGGGTCCACAGCATAATCCTTTCGGTGACACAAAAAGTCTCCATGATTCTCAAATGGTTACTGGTCCTGGCACTGTTTGTGACACACCTAATTGTCTGTGCCATACTACGCGAGGAGGCTGAGAAGACAAAGGCACCTGGATCTGTCGCATGCATCGTGCCCATCCATGCCCCAGGTAATACGGCCGACGAAGTGCGCATCCATGCCCCAGGAGATGCGGCCGATGGAGTGCTTTTACACAAGAAGATGACCACAACGGTTGAGCAAATTGAGACGCCGTGGTCGAGTACAGTCTACAAGACCGTTACCGAGACTGTAACTACAATGGACAAAACAGAGAGACCGATGAGAAGAAGAGCGCTGAATTATCACCCGATGGGTTACTAATTTGGATTCGCATCGTTATAGGTACGTTGTCGCAGCACGAAATGCAAGTGAGACACATACTGACTTCGTACCAGCACCACTTTAGCACGGCGGAGTATCGAGGCATCGACAAGTATATCATCACAGCAATGGAGGCTAAGGGATCGACATGGATCTGGGACGGAAATTGGTAGACATTTATGGAGATAGATAGGGCTAAATTGGATTCAAGAACACCGTATGAACCAGTGCGAGGAGGAAAATGTAGCTAATCTTTTCTTCCGTATGTAATATCGCGCAGCGCAATATGTCAACGCAACAACTAGATCTTTCCCCGCACAAGTAACAAAGCAACATTGCCAACCAGCCTCCTGCAGCAAACATCAGTCCACGCTACATATCACCTTCCGCACCACTCTTCGTTTCCAACAGTCTAAGATCATCAACTCACCATTTTTACCGAATTATTCCATCTCCAACCTACACACTCACCCCAACCCCATCACCAAGCCAGCCCAGAACCTCCACCATCCATTTCATGCCCGACCAAAACATCCCCCACGACGCAGCCGCAGCCCGCCGCGCAGCCCACGCTGCGGAAAACAAGTGGATGATCATCAAAATCTACTGTACCATTGCACTCGTGGACTTAGTAGTCTTGGGTCTATTCCCATCTTGGCTGGTAGCGAACAGTCTAGCGGTGGTGTCCGCGTTGTTGTATCTGGGGATCTACCGTTACCGGGCATACATCCTCCATCCGGAAGCCCAGGAAGCTGATCCTATTGAGCTGCGAGAGGGTGTGGTTCATAACATGGTTATGGAATACATGGGCGGAGATGGCGAGAGTCGCGTTGATGATGCAGAGAGATTTGAAGATGCGGAAGACAGCAACGACGATGATGATGGAGAAGACGAACATGAGAATCACGGCGAGGAACCAGAAGAAGTGCACATCGAGGAGGTAACCGCTGACGATACTCGTTCAACGCAGATTAACATCCACATACACCGGGGTGGGAGCATGTACATCAACATGATGCAGGGCGGAACGTTGCTTGCTAATGTTTTCGGGGAGGTTGAAGGCTTAGAGTGAGAATGACGACATTAGGAGTGGAGTGGGACGGATTTACATAGGTGGCATACACAGCATCTTGAGCTTAGTTTACCAATTTGCAAGTTGCCCTGTTAGTTGCCTTATTGCTGAGCTACTTTCTCCAGCTCTTATAGGCGGCGACGCCCTATCCGTCCTAAGCGACAGCAGTAACCTCCGTAGGCACAATACTGAAGTTCCCAGCCGGACCCAGTCCAGTATGCTGAACAGTCTCGTTACCCGTGTACGTGTACCTCACCTCACCCCTGCCAGATGTCAGCTCTCACCATCCTCAACCCCCCTACCTCCTCCCATAGGGTATACTCACTGCGTAAACGTGTACTGCACACTAACAGTCGCACCGACATCACTCCCGCGGTTGAACTCTTGCGTCTGCACATCGCCCGGTACATCAATGCCAACTACACCGCAAGATTTGTAGCCACCCTGGAGACTGGTTCCAGAGCAGAATTTCGCGTCGAAGGCTGGTTGGCCGGAAGGACCGGCGGGTGCGGAGACGTTGAAGGAGTAGCGGCATGCTGACGCGGAACAGACGCTGCTGAAGTCGGTGACGGACCAGGTCCAGTCTGCGCTTCGGGGAAGGGCGGCTGCGGATGAACTGGTCGCGAGGAGGACGAGGGCGGTGATCTTGGAGAGCATGTTGAGTATTGAATAAGGTTGATCGGGATGGGTGTTTGCGCAATGTTTATGTAGTTTGGTATTGGTTTCTTCTTCGACCGCATGACGGGGCTTTATAGCTCTGCTCAACGTATACGGGGCCATTGTTGCGACACTATAGTTTATGTCGGTCCCGTGATGACGCGACCGATGCTACGTTGCATAGCCACGGTGCTTCGAGGTATCTGAGGCAACTATCTCGGGTCGAGATCGGTTTCCGCGGTTCATGACGCACTCGTATGCGCAATACTTCGCTGCAAGGGCACGTAGATCATCGCTGTACGACGGCTACGGCGTTGCGGCATATCCTCTAACAATTGCCGCTTTGGGAGGATTGATGATTGTCCCACAGTGCTTACTGATGGTGACAAGCGTGGCAGCGGGTGCCAAGAAAGGAAACATGCAAGAACAAATCAACTGCAGAACCCCGGTGACGCGTCCGCGGCTCGTATCCAGTCCCGATGAGAGTGTATCATCATAGCCGACGGTGTTGAGGTTGTCGTCGTATCCAGTATTGGCACCTCGCACAACCCCTCAGGTAGGCACGGTCAATGTCTCGCCCGTGGTAACCCTCTTCTTACTCACGGGCGACCCCGTATAAACGTGGCTATCGGTAACAGATCTCATCATGCCAGGCCGTCGTTGTGTACTAGGCAAGTCGAATGGACTGGCATGGCCATGTGTGGACCCAGGGATCACAAATCTAGGTCTACTACCAGGTGTGGCAACTGGGTCCGCGGGTATCTCGGGAGGCGGAGGTTCCGCAAGCGGGTCGGAGAGAAAGAGCGCCAGAAGCTTCTCAACGATGTCGCGCATTCGGTCGGGCGTGGCGTGTAGCGGTTTCTCGGACATGTGCTTTCTCTGTGACATTGTCAGCGAAGGTCTCGGATGTAGATTCACGCGTCTTACCAGTGCCAGTTGTGCACCTTTGAAGGTTTGGTGGTATATCAGCTTGTACTCGTCGTCCTTCGCAGCCTCTTCAGCGGCTGCTTCTTCGGTCCGCTGCTGGCTTTCTTCGGCACCAGCCACGGAGGCGCGGCGAGACCTGTTCTGTTTCCGCTGCTGCAAGCCATGCATGCGCATCGCCGCCATGACCACCTTGACCAGTGCGTCCTTGTTGCGCGACTCGGTTGTTGGCTCTTCGGGCTGTATGGGTACAGTAGCGACCTGTGAAAGATTCGATCGCCTGGCATGCGCGTCGGGTTGGCCCTTTCGGCTGTGAGGTCTTGTATCAGAGGTTATGCTCGGCGATCGCGACAGTGGGCGCGAGGAAGGGCGGGCTAGATGGTCGGAAGCAGACGTTGGTCGGGAGTCGGAGAAGGACGAGGCTTTAAGATCGATAGAGAGCGACGACTTCCGGTGACTGTATGCCTGCTGAGACTCGCTCACGCGGGCTGCTGCTGCCGAGACTGCTCTTCCACCTCTTCCTCGTGCCTTCTTGTTTGCGATGGTAGCCTCTTCGAATATGTCGCGGGTCCGTTTTGGTGATGTTGGGGGGTTGTGGAACTCGTGCTGCGACGGGAGGAATTGAGGCTCGGCGTCCATGGGCAAGTCGATGCTGGTGGCATTTACAAGATCAGACGAAAGTGGCAGTGCGTGCACTCGAAGCTCAGGAAGTATCTCGGCGTGCGCATTGTCGATGTACGGAGACGAGGACGGTGGTGTGGGTAGCCCAGCTGTGGTGGGAGCGGCGACGGTGCCATAGAAGAGGATCTCGGTCACTCTGGGCTTTCGCCCGTCTTCCTCAACCCTTTGGACTTGTACAAGAAAACCAATTGGCGATTGTGATCGCGCGAGGTCCCACCATTCTTTCGCGGCGTTGTTGGGCGCGTGTGCCAGTGTAGGCTTACTCAGCAGGACTGCCTCAAACCAAGCTTGAGTAGCTTCTTCTGTCGTCCATACGTCTATACTGGGGCCGGCGGCAAGGTACAATGGGATCTTGGCGGTGTCGACGGTGGTGAGGAAGCGCAAGGCCGTCGCGGGGAGGGCTGGGGAAGACGCGGCATTTTGCGACGCGAGACCGACGTCTGTGAGGATTAGCGACTAATTTTTCCGATAAGTGAGAGTGTATACCTCTAATAACATTGCCGTCGGGTAGCAGAATATCTCCGCTCCATATATCCGTCATTGCGGATGTTCATGTAAGTGTTCGGGTCAGGTAACGCGGGATGCAACTCGCTATGACGCGCCATTCGCGCTAACAACACGCGAGGGCACGTGCAAGATGGCACATGGGCAACGTTCACCCTCATCGTGACCATTCTTCTACATGTCAGGCTACGTTTCTCGTACTTTTATGAAAGTCTTCAAATGATCTAATGTTTTCATACGCCATCTCCAAGCCACCGCCGAATTCTAACATTGTGTGGCGAGATGCCTCCAGGGCTCCATCGCGTCACCTTCGCACTACTCCAACAGCCATCTCCATACACTCCACCCTCCACTCCCATTACTCTTCCTTCTCCCCCTCTCCTTCCTCCCGAACCGCGCAAACCTCTTCCCTGATCTGCCCCTTCATACCACTTACCATCTTATCTATCCACTGCACGCTTTCCTCGTCCGCCTTGTCACGCGCGCCGCACTCCTTCTCGTTCCGTTTCAGCAAATCCCTCTCTTCCAGGCAATCACGCAGATTGGCTTTCACAGCAGCCATGTGATGACTGTGTCTGTGCGCTTGTACTACCCCTCCCTGTAGGGTCATGTTAAGGGCGTGATTGCATGTCTGAAGGTCGTGACTGTAAGCGAGGAGGGCTTGGTCGCTCGTATAGAGCTCGATGGCGGTAAGTGCGGTGATGATGGGGAGGCTGGATAAGAGGAGCCGGTTGAGTTCGAAGTGGTGGGGGATGAAGAGTGTGATCAAGAGGGTGAGGATTATGAGCCCGGCTATTACGAGTCGTAGTGACATGATGAGGTGGTTTTTGTTGCGTGATGGGGGTTCTTGCCTTCGTTTCCTTTCGTTGATATAGCTACACTCGTGAATTTGCGTTTGCTACACTCTTTCCAAACCGCAGAGACCAAAGCGCACAATTCATTGTTACAGCTTTCTAGAACGGATTCCGCCTCACCAGGATATTCTTCGCATCTCCACACTTCCCCAACATCCAATTTGCTCTCTACTTCCTCTCGTGCCCCTCTGCCTCCTCCCTCTTCTCGTCCCTCCTCTTCTTCTCAGCAGACAAGATCGAATCCTTCATCTGTCCAAGTATTGTATCTATCATCTGCCCTCTCCACTCGTCGTCATCGTTGTCTCCGTGCTCTTCAACATGCACCCGCCAAGCATCATCGAACCACCCTAGCATACTCCTCTCCGTCTGACATTTGCTTAGCTCAGCTCTCAACACTGGCACCCCTTTCATAGGATGATTGTCTTTTAGTAGTGCGTACTGTTGCGTGACGTTTTGGAGATCGTTCTCGCACGCGTGAATGCTGTGACTGCATGCTTGTAGGGCTTGGTCGCTTGTGTGGAGGGCTTGATTGCTTGTGCGGAGTTGGTAGGCTGCGATCACAGCGAGGACGGATATTCTTAGCGAGAGGAACCTGGCCCATTTCGGGTACAATACGATGATTAGCGGGGAGTGGATAATGATGCGGACGAACCAGACGGAGGAGTAGGTTGCAAGGATTATTAGTCCTATGATGGTGTACGATGACATGATGGGATGGGGTCTACGTTGCGCGATGGGGATCTGATCCGTGCGTTCTGATGATGTAGCTATGCTCGATGAGAGTGGGCTTGCTGCCTGCACTCATCAAGCCGGAGAGATCAAAGAGCGCATCAAATCACCCCAGTATTCCAGAAGTGTTTTCGCGTTACCAGGACTTTCTTTTCTCTGGAACGTGTAGAACAGGAATGGAGTTCACTTAGCCTCATCTAATTCTGATCGCATCTCTCCATCATCCCTCTCCCGTCCCTCTTTAGCCTCTTCTTCCCCTTCCCCTCCTTCTTCTACCTCCTCCCTCTCCCGCTTTCCAACCCCCCGATTCTTCTCCTCCACACGCTCCGACAAGCACGCCATCAACCCCTTCACGTATTCAGGGTCATCTTCGTGGTCTGTGAATCGGGCCCATCGACCCTCGTCCATGCTCTCTTTGAGACGGGTCTCTAGTTCAAGAATACGCTGTGCAAGGATATCGAGACTGTGTTTGCACATTTCGAGAGCCGGGTCGGTTTTATAGGACTTAAAGTCGTCGCATCTGGCGAGCGTACATGCGGTACCTAATATGAACCGAGTTGCTTCCGGAACATGTTCACTGAAGAGGGCGTAGCAGTAGATTGCCAAGATGGTGAATTTGAGGATGATGGACATCATGGCTGGATGTGGTATGCTGTAGGTAGTATTAATTAGTCTGTGGCGAGAGTGTTGATATATCCACACGTTACCTAGGTGATTCGTTGCGCTTGCTATTTCCTTTGATCAAGTAGACGAGATGTAAAGCGTGATAGCTAACGCCAGCAATCCGAGTTTGACGATCGTGTCTTTCTACTTCTTCTTAGAAGCATTTCAGAGTTGCTAGCAGCTTCTTTGCTTTCGAACGTAGTCCTTGCAACGCACAGGCCACAAGGTACGTGCAGCCAAATGACGTCGTGGAATTATACATGTACGTTGGGCTTTTAACATGTTGATATAGTACAAAAGGCTAAGCGAGGCACGCATTCTACGGAAATAGTAAACCGCGCTATCCATCGGGTCGTTGCATGCCATTCGATTATCTATCCAAGTCATTCTACCTCATCCATTCTCCAGTATTCTGCCCTAGGTTCTTTCCATTCCTCGTGCTTCATCAACCATCCACACGCGACCATCTCTCACCCCCATTTCATCTCACAACCAACGCATCCATGGCAGTCTAATAATTTCTGCGCCCACCGCCTTCATCACAGCACCGGCAAAGAAGTGGCCCACAATGCACACCGGGACGCCCCATCCCACGATAACGCGCACGTCATTCTGGAGGCGGATTATAGTCTGCTCGTAGGTACGGCCGTTTAAGATGGCTTCTACAACTGTATGGAAAAGCATGCACAGAGCGCATAAGAAGAAGGACCACAGGAACTGAGCGACTGTGTCTGTCATGTCGGGCAAGGCTTTGATGTGCTTATGTACGCGGATGAATGTGTTGGTGAGTACTTGGCTTCGCTGGGATTGGAGGAGATGGATGATGCCGACGGTTGGACGGTGATACGATGGTATAGATGCGGAAGCAGCTTAAAGTTTGCGATCTATTGCCTCCTGGCATGCGCAAATAATTTTGCTTTGACGATTCGTGTTGCAGATACCTTTGGGGAGCATTCTAGCGCGCGTTCTTGCATCGGAAAACGATTGTAGCTAGCGAGAGAACTTTGATCTCTTGTTCTCATCAAAGAATAACGCTCACCTGCAAACTAGAAGATCGAATGATTGCTGGGCCGTACAGTGATGAAGCTGAACAAGACCTTACACCACTGCGAAAGAGACGCCAGCAAACCCCTTCTCTTGTCGTCGCATCCATAAAGACCGTCGAACACGAACATTTCATCTTCATCTTAACCACCACCACAAACCGCCATCCATCCATCCAACTATCTCTTGCACCCAGTGAAACCACCAACGTTCCCACCACCCATTCAGCCAACCAACAACATGATGCCCACCGCAAACCTCATCTGGCAGCTCCTCCAAACCGTCGTCCTCATCTGGCTCCTCCTTGTCTTCGTCATGCTCATCTCTCTTTACGAAAAAGCTATTCAGGAACGTGATGTAGTTTGAGTCTTTGCTACTGTTGCATCTGCTCTCGCTATCTGCGTTTATGTAGGTGACTTATCGGAAGACACGGAGCTACGGCACCAGTTGGCGTGGTCGGATAGGGAAATCACGAGATGTCATCACAAGTATGAGAATGGGATTAGGTGTAGGATGTGCGAAGAAGCGCGGCGGAAGCTAATGGAAGTTCAATAGGAGCATAAGGAGAAGTACCACAGGGACTGAATAATTGTGTTGAACATGTAGAGTGAGCTTTTGATATGCTCGGTAAGTAGAGAAATAAGGTGGGCGGTTATGTGGCTTCGTAGTGACGGTCGCGTTTAGGACTGACGACCAAGAACACGTTTGTGTGAACACGGCGTCAATCCGACGCTTGCTGCAACTCGTTTCCAGTTGCGATGCATTAGGTAGTTTCCACCTGGTAGCTACTTTTCGGAAGCAAACTACCATGCATCTTCGCCTTGTCAGACATTGTGGTTCTCAAGAAAACAACATCTCCTTGTTCCCATCAAAGATATCCGCTCAAAGTTGACACTCTACAAACGCCGGAACGGCTCACAACCGCTTCGCGGGTATCCTACGACACCGCCAACAATGACTTAGCAAACTCTGTATTACTCTCGCATGCATTAAAGGGCGTAGTTCGTGAGCGCCCGGCCTGATACCACCATCATCACGACCGCCCGTCTCTACAGCCCGGGCTATTCAATCTCGCATACCTAGGTACCTAGGTATCTAAATTCTTCCGCAGCCCCAACCAAAACACGATACAAAATGACAACCACCCAACTCCTCCATCTGTTCCTCGATTATGTCGTACTTGTCTCTCTATTCGTCTACTTCTTCGCATTCATCTACCTCTATCGGCTGCGGGACGAGGGGCCGAACCGAGGCGCGCTCAATGGCAGCTGTGTCATGGCGCTCACTATCTACGCATTTGCTCACGGGATGCTGGAAGTAGGAAAACTGCGCGTTCAGTTAGCTGAGACGGAGCAGATGTTGCTGAGTTGTGAGATGGGATATTGGGGCCTTTGGATGCGAGTGTTGAGGGCGATCTGGGGTACGTGAAGGCGATGAGGGGCGTCGCACAAGCAGGAGAGAGTGTAACGCATGTTCGCATTCTTGCTGAGAGGAAGGCATCTAGTACAAAGTAACTTTGACATCTTTCGCGCGTTTGGTCTGAAGTCTTCCTGTTATCTCTCTAATCCTCTCGAACAACCACCGCTTCTTCTCTACACCCTTTCCTACACATTTGCAACCTCTCTTCAAGCCCCGCTATCTGGACCTCCCCCAAACACTCGCCCACTACCTCTGCTACATCCACTTCCCCAATATCCCCTCTATCTCGAGCCGATCCTGCATCTCCGCCACCATCACCACGTTCCTACCCACGACATACAGGAGAAAAATGATACCACCATTAGCCGCAACGACTTTGACCGCGAATCTGCGCTTCCTAGCGGTATTGAGGTACTTGTAGAAGATCTTCCGGAATACCAGGGCGAGAATGATGGTTGCAATGAGTGAGGGGAGTTGTTGGAGGATGTGCTGGTAGGATGGCATTCTGTGCTAGGTTCGGATGGACGTGGGTCGATGCGTTCTCTTGAATTTTGGATTGATGTGAGATCTTTGCTCTTTGGTATTCGATGCTGCGATGATGGATGCGCGAGATGGGATACCTCGTCGAGCGCTTGCTTTTGTAGTTGCCATCTTTTCTAGAAGACTGGCCGGGCTTGCTCACCGTGATGGATGTAAAACATCGACTGAGATTGTGTAGACATGTCGCAAAACCGCACTAGCATATTTCTCTCGAGAAACAGTAGGAAGTAAGACATGCAGAAAGATCATGTTCTGCTCACGAGCAATATGGTGAAATAGCTCGTCTCGGAAAGTGGTGTGTGTGAGACCGTGTGAGACAGGCTCAGGCAGACTGAACCCGCTGATTATGCATGTTAACCGCTTCTAATCACGTACCTACAACACCGATAGATTACATTTGTGCAAGATGATACCACCTCGTTCGCGCAGGGATTTGATGTATCACACAATAAGGAGTCTGTCTTTGAGTGTCATTCACGGAACACTACTTAATCTTTAACACACCCAAGCCAACATACACATCACCCCCTCCCTCCCCACGCTCCCTTCCCCCTCATCCCCTTACCCCCCTACTCATCATCCCGAATCCAAGACATCGTGATCGTCTTACTCGGCGGCGGCCTCAAGCACATCTCCAGATCCCTTCGCAACCAAGCAATATCCCATATCCCCTTCGCGACAACATACGTCCAGAGGCCGTACAGGACAAAATTTACGACCGATGTAGTATCGACACGTCCATGCCAGCAGTGGCTGATGAAAACCTTGAAATGCCGAAGAAAGGCTAGGATGTAGATGGCGAGGACGAGCAAGGAGAGATATGGGGGTGTGGTGAATTCGGAGGGGTGGTAGTTGGTGGACATGGTTGTTTTGTCTTACTGATGGCGGTGGTGGTGGTTGGGAGATGGGTAGTGTGGTTGCGTGCGTTGGGATGGGAGCTTTTATGTGGCGAAAGTTTGCGTGAGAGCAAATGACGTCGTGTGTGCGCTTGTCTGAGACTGTGTTGGAATGACCGAGAAAGGTGTTTCTGCTTGGCGGGAGAGATTGCGAGAAGGGTGTTCCGTGACTATATTCCGGAGAGTCGATCAAACGCCTACCTCCGCAACCTAACCTTCCCCTTCGCCAGCGCACCCAAATGATACTGACACCCCATCCCCAGCGGCCTCCCCTCCCACTCCTCCCTCCAAAACCTATCCACAACCCCAAACTGCGGATCACCCCGATCAAAAAGCGTCGTTTCCTTCATCAAATCCCAATGCTCCGCCTTCTTCCATCTCAGCAACATCGGCTTCAGCAGCCTCCCCGTGATATTCTTATTCCGACAAGTCGTCGCAAAGTCTTCAATCTGGCCGTCAAACCACTCAAGCGACGGATCGGCGGGCTGCCAGACGGACATGGATTCTAGAGTTGGCCAGAAGTCGAGGAGGGAGAGGGAGGCTTGGAACATGTAGGATACGTCCATGCGGGCGTTCATGAGACACTGCGCTTCCTGTTTTGACTCTTCGAACGTAAGACCGTTGGGTAGGATGGAGGAGTCGAACGGAAAGGGAAGTTGGGCATGCGAGAGATCGGGGCGTAGCGTGAGGTGGCGAAGGTGTGGTGGGAAGAGAGGGTAGATGTCCTTGTTGATGGAGAAGTCGACGTCTCCGGTCAGGAAGGGGAAGGGAACCTCAAGGGTATGTAGTTCGGTGAAGTCGGTGAGATCGAGGAAGCCGCAGAGTCTGTCGCCGATGCGTGGTTGGGCGAAGAAGAAGGCGTCTGGGTCGGAGTATTCCGCGGTGAGGACTAATACTTCCAGGGTAGATTGTAGGGGCCTGAGGTGCTCATTCCAAGCGTCGACCATGAGCAGATCTCCTCGCTGGGTAGTCTGTGCCTGGGCGTTGAAGTAGGAGTCGTACGTAAGAGACCGTAGCTTTGGCGTGCACTGGAACAACGACTTCAAACCCCGGTTAAAGGCACCCGAGTGT